CCAACTACTTCACTTCTGTGTCTGAGTGAACGTCAACTCCTAGAATCACCCTGACGGTGTAGCGGATCCAACTACTTCACTTCTGTGTCTGAGTGTCAAGCAGATTATGAAACTGTAAGAGTTGCTAGTCTCACGACTAAGAGCATCTCTGAGTAATACAATATGGGGACGAAAATAATGAAAGGTTCTGAATACACTAAGTCTTCACTTACCATCAGTCAGTTCTTGCAAACTGTGACTTAAAATAAAATGACAGAGAAACAATCTTCCTACAGGCTGACTGACATGAGCAAGAGTTCAGTTACTCAGGCAAGTTTCTGGGCAAAAGAAATCACCAAACTTGTAAATCAAGACCAAAACATTTCTAATGTTAAATATTGAAATTAAATGTGAGCTATATGTACAGATAAGAAAGATGAATAAAAAACAAGTAAGATAATCATTTACCCATGTATTTTACTTCAGCAGTATGGTGCCTGGAGTCTCCCCCAGCAGCTCATGTGGCAGGCAGGAGCCACAGCAGGACAGGACACCTTTCCACCGCACCCCAGGGTGAACTCTCTCACATACACACACATATACACACACAGACTGGGAGACTTGAGACTCAGCCATGAACCTGACATGCTTGTCTTGGGGATGTGGAGGAGACTGGAGTACCAGAGAGAGCCGTGCAAATGTGAGGAGAGTGCACAGACTCCACACAGACATGCCCCAACCAGGAGTGCAATGAGACAATGTTATTCAAGGACTTGCTGTAGTTGAGTCTCAACTGGAAAGATGCACACCTCTTTTTAATAAAAACAAGGATGATACGATACACAGAAGCCTCAGAGTAAAGCCGTTAACATTCTCACAGGGTCCCCCCACAGTGGGGAAACGTGCAATCTTCAGTGCTCTGAAACCTGATCATCTACAGCACACGTGGGGGCTGCCATCCTAAAATATCAAAACGATTCGTTGTTCCTCTGTGATTAAGGTTATAGAGACCATCACTCCCAACCTAACAACCATAGCAAGCTACATAAGCTATAAAATCAACAGTTTTTAAAACCCCACTGAAGGGGTGAGCATGCAAAGAAACTTCACTGAATCCCCAGACACTAGCAGCCCTTCATACGGAAAAGAGAGCCACACTGCTCCTTCCCAGGAAGAACAGGATGGAGGGTGAACCCGCTGCAGGTGGAGGTGGGGAGACAGCCGCCAAATCTGTAATGGGTTTTTAACGGCTGCATGCAGACTGGGGGAGCAAATCAGAATTCAGAAGAACGCTGGGTGTCATCTGAGCCTGCATCCACTCACCATTACCTTCCTCATGGTCTCCAAGTGTGCAGTTCACACAGGGAGGACGGGAGGTCAGACAGGAGAATGGAGACATCTCCCTGAGGCACACAGACCCTCCCCAAGTATGAGACAGCCGCTTTTTGTAGACTAGAAGCACAGCTGGAAGAAAGCCTGTGGAGGCACACGGCCACTTCTGCAGGGCCTCAGGTGTCTACTCCGGAGGCTGGGGGCAGAGCTCTGGGCAGAGAAAGGCCTCCCGAGGCTCAGGAAGCTGCTGTGTGAACAAGATGCAGCCTTCTATGCCTTCTATGGGTCTGCCTGGAGGGCGGGAATATTCTCTCTCTTGCTTGGACGGTGGGGTATACAACCATCAAGACTCCTCCCAATAAACACTTCAGAACCACGTGTTTTAAGGTATGCCTCAATTTAAAAAATAAAACAAAAGGAAATCTGATCTGAAAAACAATTCTAGTGGATCCTTTCAGTTGGCTCCTCGGGAGACACTGACAAGAGGTTTTGCTCTGGCCTGACCCTCTGAGAAGTCCAGATATCTCCGTGCTCTTTCTTCAGATGAAGGGAGAATGAACTGTGGCTGGTCTCTGGGCTGACAAGCACCAGCGCAGGAACTCTGCGCACAGCTGCAGGGACACACCAGTGAGACATCTCGAGGGAAACCGGCGATGGTGAGGAGAAATAAAGGCCATTCCAGGAATAAATGGAACACGCTCTGAACCTGCCTTGTTGTCCCGAGGTATCGTTAGTCTAGAGTGCTAATCTCTGTTAAATGCTGCAGCACCCACCTTTTCCTGCCTTTCCCCCAGAAACACACCCCAACCACCAAAACAAGAGACTTGGCTCTGTGCTAATGAAGCTGCAGGAAAGGCCTTTCTTCCTCACCAGGACGGTCTCGGGGCACGGACAGGGGCCTCTCTGGCCGGGGGTGCACAGCAGCAACCTGTACCTTCTCTCATACTGCAATTATGGCCAAAACAGAGAGAAGGAAATGTCGACTGATGACTATGTGTCCCAGGAGAGGTTCAGAGGGGCAGAGCCCCTGGCCAAGCAGACAGGACTCCCAGTCTCTCCCCTCCACTGACCTTCCAGGTTACGGGGACAGCGTGGCCTAATGAAACTATGACAATACTTAAATAGAACAGTAACAGTAACTAACATTGGCTTGAGCTGCCCCTGAGCCAGCCACTGTGCTAAGCCCTGCCTCACAGTAGCTCTGGGGCGAGTGCTAACATCACTGTGCTGTGGCTGGGGACTGAGGGCCTGGAGCCGCTGAGCAGTGCTGCTCTGCACTGGAAGCGGGCAGGGTGACACGAGGGCTCAGCGTCTGTGAGCTCCTCTCAGGAAACACAAAGCTGCCTCCCTAAAGCATGGAAATCAGACAAGGGGTGAAGGCTGAGAGAACACTGCCCGGTGTGACTGCACACCCACCCCCACACACCTGTACACACTGCCTGGCGTGACTGCACACCCACCCCTTACACACCTACACACACTTCCTGGCATGGCTGCACACCTACCCCCCCACACACCTGTACACACTGCCCACTGTGACTGCACACCCACCC